CTTGTATACTTGTTTCATCTATCTCCTTTCCTAAAACCGACTTCTGCGCATGGGCCACGAAGTTTCAATCACACTGTACGTGTGTGGCCGCACATAGTATTTTGTGGAAGAGCCACACTCAAGGGGCCAAAGAGCCGCATGTGGCTCACGAGCCACGGTTTGCCGACCACTGTCCTAGGCCAAAGGAAACTAAGGAGAAAATAAACAAATGATACTATATTAAAATAAAAAGCTTCTGCACAGCACAATCTTTAGATAGTTTAAAGTTGATGAATTAGCATTCCTGAATTTCAAACTTATGGCAGATAAGGAAAGGTGAGTGATGATACTGAGGAGAGGAGAAGGTCTGCTAGCTTCCAATTGCTGAAACCTTGAAGCTCATCTGTGCCCCTGATGTCACCTTGACAAGTACAATGGAAAGTTATTCTCCCTCTCCTCCTCACCCTGTTCAGGCTGTAGTTTGCCTTTGTGTAACTGCTTTTTCCCCTTTAAGATTGCCTTTGATCGATCTTTCTATTTTGAAAAAAAAAAAAAATAGTGTGTGAAGAATGAGGTAGAGGGCAATAAGAAGAAAGACACTAATATGGAAATAGAGAGAGAATACCATATTATTTGGGGCACCAATTCATTTAGAATCATTAGGAAATCCTCATTTGTATTTTATCCGTTCTTTGTGAGTTTTTTTCTGTTTACTTCCTAATTTGATTCCGTTGCCTTTTCCTCACTCAGCCATTACTATACATCAGACTGAGGACTCTTGATCAAATTCTTGACAGAATTATTAGTGCACCATTATAAATACCTTAAACTAAAGAAAAAACTACACTAATGGCTATTTGTGTGATCAGGATTTTCTTACTGCTATTCATGACTATCTTTAGAGAATCTTGGTGACTGACTTGCCTAGAAAGGTATTTTAAAAGCTTATGTTAATTGGATCTTCCACTAGTTCTCTACTACTGATGAGATATGCTGATTACTTGAATCTGGCAGTAGCTTTATAGATGGATGTCTAATTGTTCATTTTGGCTTTTAGTTCACACTCTCAGTATCATTGGCTCCATTTTATTCTCTTCTCATCTGTCTTGCACACTGTCCCTACCTCTCTCTTTCTCTTCCTTCCAGATTTCCAGCTAAGTATTTTATCTAAGCATCAAATGGCAAATACTTTTTTCTATTTCTTTAGCTAAATAGGTTGATTCTCATCTCTACTTTATATCCAGGAAGACATTAGGAATGTGCCTGCCTTCGCAGAAAAAAATAGAAAACCATCTCTTATTCTTACCTCCCCCAATGGACAGGAAGACACTGGAAGACAATTTCCAACTTTGGTCATTTATCAACCCATTAACAGATCTCAGATGCGTCATTGTAAAGAATCCATCAGGAGACCAGGAAATGCAAGCAGGAAACACTGAACAATTACTAGTGCTACCCACGTACGTCCTTGGCACACCATTTTTATATCCCTTCAGTGGAAAGAGAATCCACAGAGAGTAACTTAATATTTTAATGCACTCTTGCTTCTTTAAAGTTTTGTGTGCCAAGAACCATTTGTGGAATAACAAAAAGAATGAATTTACTCACTGTGCTAAGGAAAATGCTTTGGTTCTAATTAGTTTTCACAGTTTTAAAATCAATGATTAGCTAAAGATGCTATGGAGAATATGAATATATAGCCCTCTTTCAGAAGCATGAAAACGTAATCACCTGCTGTGATGGCTAAACTTTAAGATAGGTGTGGAGCCCATATCCATTCACCACATGCCTCAACATGACCCAGGACTGTCAGTATTAGCGCTGACACCCCATCCCCAACCACTTCGCCTTTCATCACCTAAAGCTCTCAGCCAGAAAGTGGTGACAGAGGCAGCCTGCGTTGTATGTCAACAGATTATCAGGATGTTTAGTAATATTCCCTTTATGGGAGCCTTTTAAAATCCCTGCACTGGCAATCCTAAAGCTCTGTTGATTTTTGTTACTTGCTGATAAGGCTTTTAATGGCTAAAGCCTGATATATTTTTAGATCTTTTGTCACCATGGGCCTCCTGTCACTCACTGAGGTTGAAATCAGCAGGCTATTAGTCTGCCCAATGTATAATCCCAAGTCCTGTGGAACGAGGGTTTGCAGCAAGTAGGCCTCCTGATTCTGAAATTTATTTTTGATTTTTATTCACAGAGCACTGTCATTTCCGCCTTTAAAACTCATATGGAAACATCTGTGCTGGAACGTTCTTAAGGAAAACATATTTTAAATCATCCTGTTATTTTTCATTAAAATGATCCTATATAATAAAAGCCTAATATGCAAATTGTCCCCTGGGGCGGTCATACGACCAGGAGTTCCACCCTGAGACCAGAAGTTTGACTGCTCTCTATGACGTGTGCTGACCACCAGAGGGCGGCGCTGAACATGGTGGGCATCAGTGATGCACCGTGGCCTCTCATCGGCTATCTGGGGCGTGGGTGACCCAGACAGAGGTGTGGTGAAATGCAGGGTGTCTGCTGAGCTCACTCTCACTCCCCCTGCTACCCTTCCCTGAGACACCAGGGCTCATGAGCCAGGGAATACTACCCCCGCACACACACACACTCAGGTGCCAGGCGCCTGCCAGGAGCCAGCCCCACATCCTTGTGGCCTCTTCGGGTGAGCTGGGTCACAGCCTCTGGGACCACAAGGGCCAGTTGGGCTCCCTGTGGGTTCACACAGGAGCCAGTCTGCGAGGCCAGCCAGGAGAGAGTGCGTTGCCTGCTGGCTTCCACACAGCGCTGCTGCGTGTCCCAGAGGCCCATTCTGTGTCCCCTCCCACTGCATCCAGCTGCACTCAGCACATCTCCACATGGGGATTCGGGCACCGGGACTCAGGTGGAGGGGGGCGCATGGGGACCTGGGGGCCCAGGTGCTGCTCAGGGCCCAGAGGTCAGCTGGAACCTGCCCTTCCACCCCAGATGCTTTTGCTTGGATCACAGGCCAGGCCTAGGGACCACACTGGTGCATGAATTTCATGCACAGGGCCTCTAGTATATATATAATTGGTAGGATTATATACAATCCTTATTGGCCATTTGTAAGCTTCCCACCACAGGAGAACAAAAGACCAGGAAAAACTCTCTGGACACCAGAAGTCAGATCATAGGAATTGAAACTGTCCTGAAGGCACCTGATCGCACATCTGTACTCCATCCTCTTTCCAAGCCCACTAACTCAGCCCCCAGGCCCACTGAGGATAAGAGCTTCCAGCCAGCAGCTCCATATAAGGATGAAACTCTAGCCCCTTGGTGCTGCCATCCTTGACCCAATATTCCCTTAGCTGGGTGCTGTGCAGCCCTTCCCTTTCGATAACTCCTCCCCTATCCCTTTTCCTTAAATAAATTCAATTTTTTTAATCATCATTTGAGATTGCTATTGGCCTGCCCACATACCACCATGCTAATAATAATGTCTATTTGCTTAACAGATCAAAATATAACTCAGTATTTTTAAATTATTGGTCAATTATTTTTCCCCCTAAGAGAAATCATTAGAATTTCTTTTTAATTTAAATTGCAGCAGTTCCTTAAGACAGAATGTAACAAATCATCAAATAGGGACAATAGATGAACTACAGAGAGAGAAATAAATAGCTTTAGCACACTGGAACCATTGGGCCAATGTCCTTTAAAAGACACGACATGGAAACAATCCCTGGGTCACCACTGAAATGTTCTTTAAGTGGAGGTGTGAAAATGGAAATACATGCCTATTTGTGGTCTCTCATTTGTAACTGTGGCTCCCCTGTGCACAGGAGAACAGAACAAGAGTAGAAGGGAGCATAAAAGAGGAATTTGGAAAGGCTTCACTGGACAAGTTTGCTTGGAAGGAACAACTATAAACATCCAGGAAGAATAAAGGAAGCATCCAGGAAGCCGTCAATCGGGCAAAGTAAACACATTGTGAGTTTGACTTAGGAAAAGCACTCATGACAAATCTGTTTCCATAAGAGTGAAAAAGAAATACCTGTTAAGTATGCAACTTTTGCTTAAAAAGTATTTTTTTTAACTTTTTAATTACAACAGATCAATTTGCAAAGACAATTTTTTAAAAAGTAAAATCGCACTACCCTTAATGATCTGCTTTTAAAACAAATTTTAAAGACAGGCTTTCCCCAGGATGGCTGGTGACACAGTGGCCAGGACACAGTAAAGAAAAAAAGCATCACTGTGTTGAAATGTAGGAATCAAAACCTTTATAAAGAAGAATGTGTTAATATGAGGTCTTGGAATAAATAACTCAGATGAAAGAGCCCTCTAATTACAAGGTGCAAACATAATTTGAAGACATTGATTGTGAAATGTGATGAGGATCATATAAAAAAATTTCCGTGAAAAATAAGCCAGTATAGCCTAAAGCATATGATCTCATCAAGTTAAATAATATTTCAGTAGTGATCCAGGAACTATATGTGTATATATATATTCCCATCACCTAATCTTAGCTACATCCTCCTATAAAGCCTGCTTCTTTTTCAATGGACAGTTACTTCACTTTCTAAAATGAATACTTATTCATTTCATCAAAATCTGAAGAGACAGAAAGGAAGAAAAATATTGTAGTAACCTTGACATCTAGGAAGGTGCAGGGCACAGTAAGTTCTCCACAAAGGAGTGAATTATTAAAGTCATGAAAGCAGGGAGTTACAGTAGCAGGCGATGACAGAATCCATCCTCTGCTCACCGGGACCCTGTTCTCTCCACTTAGTTCACTCCGGTTTTCAAAGGAATAAAATAATCTGTAAGTTTGGAATGCTGCACGAGCAGCACATTTCCCCCCTCAGCACTTGTCTCTGAAGCCCAGCAGTACAAATTTCCTACTGGTTATTTTCGCCTTAGTGACTCTATTGTGGTTTCTCATTTCCTCAATAGTAAAATTGCACTTACTAATGATGACTTTAATATCGCCAACGCTAAAATTCATGTTTTGGTGGTTGTTTTCTCTGACAAAGTAGAGTATGATTATTTGGAAACCCTCCCTTTGAGCAGCCACATAATATTTGGTGCCCTATCTTCTTTTGTACCTCCTTGCTATTTCCTTTGCCATACTTACTGCAAGGGGCATGGTTACAAAAGAAATACTGAGACAGAAAATACTGAGAAAGTCACCAGAAAGGTAAGAGACAGAATATACTATGTTAAACATGTATTATTTTCTCATATTTTATATATCTGCCCTTTAAATAATCCAGTATGCATATATTGGCCATTTTATATCTATGACTATATGCTCTATAAAATATATAACAAAACTCAGAGACATGCCATTCAAAGACAAAGCATATACATGTGAAATAAAAACTATTATAAAGAGGATATTACGAGGTTCAAATGCATAACACATTAATGTGTGCTTCAGTATTTATATGAGTTAATACTAGGACATCAGCAGACAGGTTAATTTGTAAATATATCCTGGATAGAGTAAAATTTGAATCATAATTTTTTAGAAAATCATGTAAATAGATTGGTTAAAATAAGCAAGGACTTTCGATGAGAATGGCATGTGTAAAGAAAGTCACTACAATAGCTATAGAAGCAGATTATCTAAGAGTTCGATAAGCCCATTAAATATCACTAAATAAGATTTTTCAGTGTGTTAAATTTAACCAGATTGAATGTTTTGAATTTTATTCCACTGAACAACTTTAAATGATTTGCTTTTTAATGAGTCATTTGCATTTAATCATAAATTAGGAATACAACATCTTTTACTTGGTTATTTCCATTAGACTACGTTCTTTCGGGACTTTATGCTTTTCTGTAATAAAGACACAGATTCCTCAAAATATATTTCAAATGTAAATGATGAGGAAAATACTTATTTATAAAGAAAACTGGGATATATAGTACTTACAATAGCAAACTCAGAGGTGTGCAATAAAATTTCAAAAATGTTATTGCTAAACCATTTATAACTCCAGAAGACTTTTTTTAAAAGGAAGACAGAAACAGAAATTTCAGAAAAGTGATTCACAAGACAGAGCTATTATTGATAGAGAAAAGCTGAATTTCTAAGGAATAGATGAATCAGAAACAAATTTATGAATAGTACATCAAAGTACATGAAATTTTTAAAAATTCATCATTTGGGGAGAACTATAATTCATTCTAGCTATAACAAGTAAAAAGATAAAAAGAAGAAAGTATATTTACATAGGATGGGACATAAATTAGTCAGAATCCTTAATAATTGCCTGCCACTCTTTTTATAGTAACAGCTTTATTGAGATTGAATTCACATGTAATAAGTCACTTTTTTAAAATTGTGGCTTTTTGTCACGCAACTATCACTACTACCTATTAGAATATGAGAATATTTCCAAAAACTCCAAAAGAAACTTGATACCCATTATCTATCATTTCCTATTTTCTCCCAATTCCCAAACCCCCAAACTCTAGGCAAACTCTAGTCTATTTAAAATCTGTATGAAGCTTGATAACTTGAATATTTCATATAAATAGAATAACATAACATCTAATATTGTGTAACTGGATTTTTTTTCACTTAGCATGCTTTCAAGGTTCATGCATGTTGTAGCTTGTATCAGTACTTTACTCCTTTTTTGTTACCAAATCATATTCCATTGTATGGCAATACCCAAAAACTTTACCCATTCATCAGGTGATGGACATTTGAGTTGTTTCCACTTTTTGACTACTAGAATGCTGCTATAAATATTTGTGTACCAGTTTTTGTGTAGCTATGTGTTCGTCTCACTTGAATATATAACTAGGAGTGGAATAGTCTTGCATGGTAAAAAATTATCATGGCCTTGTATATTAAGTAAAAATAAAACAAAAATAAACTTTAGACATGGTTTGTTGTCACTCAATGGTCTAGCTTTATAATGCTGCACAATTAAGGTTGATATCCTGAATTATAATCTTTAGGCACTGTAGGGGCATCAGATTGTCAGAAAGATATTAGAAGCTTTGTTTACCACATTACACTTACTCAGCAGAATACTAGAAAAACAATTTTTTTGAAATTTTCAGCAATAAGGTTTAAAGCAAATTATAATTGAATTAGACCCAATTAAAAGTATATTCACAACTTAATGGTATTTTTTTTCTTTAAAATGGTGATCACATTGATAATATTGCTAAATGAAAAAATCATTTAATGATGAAATTATTCAGCAGACACTTAAATTAAATTAAAATAATAGTATTTGTGTCTTAACCATAGTGGGTATTTGTACTATAATACGAGTATCTAATCCTGAGTAGAAATAATCTGATGAATCTAATGGGGTCAAAGCAATCTACATGAGAAGAATGTGTTCTACATTTTTTGTGGATGTTCTCAGACCAAGATTTGTCAAAATGCAGTATTTTCAAGCAGTGCGTAGGATTAAACATAATCCTATAAGAGAGATCCACTCTCTTAGAAAATTTCTAGTACACTATACAGTATTGTTAAGTACAGGCATATTTCATTATATTGCACTTCACTTTATTGTGCTTCAAGATACTGTGTTATTTACAAATTTAAGGTTTGTGGAAACTGTGCATTGGCCACTTCTATTGATGCCTTTTTCCCAACACCATTTGCTCACTTCATGTCTCTGTACCACATTTTGGTAATTCTCACAATATTTTAAATTATTTCATTATTATTCTATTTATTATGGTGATCTCTATCAGTGATCTTTGACATTAGTATTGAAATCATTTTGGTCACCACAAACCATGCTCATGTAAGACAAGGTACTTAACAGATGTTGTGTGTGTTATGACTGTTCCACCAACTAACCATTCCCTTTTTCTCCATCTTCTCAGGCATTTCTATTTCCTGAGACACAGCAATATTAAAATTAGGCCAATTATAACCCTATAATTTTCTCTATGTGTTCAAGTGAAAGGAAGATTCACATATTTCTTAATTTAAATCAAAAGCTAGAAATGATTTAGTGAAGAAGGCGTGTTGAAAGGCTAGATAGGTCAAAAGCAAGGGCTCTTGCACCAAACAATTAGCTAAATTGTAAATGAAAATGCAAAGTTCTTAAAGGAAATTAAAAGTCCTGCTCCAGTGAACACACAAATGATAAGAAAGTGAAACAGCCTTATTGCTGATATGGAGAACCTTTTAGTGGACTGGATAGAAAATCAAACTAGCCACAACATTCCCTGAAGCCAAAATCTAATCCTGAATGAAGTTTTAATTCTATTCAATTCTATGAAGGCTGAGAGGGGTGAGGAAGCTGCAGAAGAAGAATCTGAAGATAATAGATGTGGGTTATTGAGGTTTAAGGAAAGAAGCCATATACGTAACATAAAAATGCAAGGTGACACAGCAAGCATTGATGTAGAAACTGCAACAAATTATCCAGGTCTAGCTAAGATCATTAATGAAGGTGGGTACACTAAACAACAGATTTTTCAATGTACACAAAATAGCCTTATATTGAAAGAAGATGATATCTAAGACTTTCATAGCTAAGAAAGTGAAGTCAACACTTGGCTTCAAATCTTTAAAGGGATAGGATGACTGTCTTGTTAGAGGCTACTGCAGCTAGTGACTTTAAGTTGAAGCCAATGCTCATTTGCCATTCTGAAAATCCTACGGCCCTTAAGAATTATGCTGCATCTACTATGCCTGTGCTCTACAAATGGAACAGCAACAACAAAAAAGCCTGGATGACAACACATCTGATTACAATATGGTTTACTGAGTTCTTTAAGCCTACCCACCATTGACACCAACTGCTCAGAAAGATGATTCCTTTCAAAATATTGCTCATTGTCAATGTATCTTGTTACCCAAGAGCTCTAATGGAAATGTACAATCAGTTTAATGTTGTTTTCATGCCTGCTAACATAACATTCTACAGCTCATGGATCAAGAATTATAACTTTCAAATCTTAAGAAATATATCTCATAAGGCTGTAGCTGTCATAGATAGTGATTGCTCTGATGGGTTCAGGCAAAGTACATTGAAAACCTGGAAAACATTCATCATTCTAGGTGCTATTAAAAACACTCAGGATTCATAAGAAGGGGTCAAAATATTAATATTAGCAGGAGTTTGGCAGAGTTGATTCTAACCTTTATGGAAGACCTTAATGGGTTCAAGACTTCAGTGGAAGAAGTAGATGCAGATGTGGTGAAAATAGCAAGAGAACTAGAATTATAAGTGGAGCCTGAAGATGTGAATTGGTTGCTGCAATCTCATGACAAAATTGTAATGGATGCTGTTACCTATGGATGAGCAAAGAAAGTGGTTTCTTGAGATGAAATCTACCCTGGTAAAGATGTTGTGAAGACTGTTGAAATGACAATGAAGGATCTATACTCTTACATTAACTTAGTTGATAAAGAAATGGCAGGGTTCGGGGGATTGAATCCAATTTTGAAAGAAGTCTTATTTTTGGTAAAATTATATCAAGCAACATTGTATGCTACAGAGAAATTGTTCAAAAAGGTAAAATCAATAAATGTGGCAAACTTCCTTGTTTTCTTATTTTAAAGAAATTGTCACAGCCACCCCAATCTACAGCGACCACCACCCTTATCAGTCAGCATCCATCAATATCAAGGCAATACTCTCCATCAGCAATATGTTACAACTCACCGAAGGCTCAGATAATGGCTAGCATTCTTTAGAGTAAAGTATTTTTAATTAAGGGATTCACATATAATTTTATACATAATGCTACACAATAATGTAAACATAACTTTATATGCACTGAAGAACCAAAATATTATGTGATTTGCTTCTTTGAGATATTTTCCTTATTGCAGTGTTTAGGAACCAAACTGCAATATCTCCAATATATGCCTTTTTAACTACATTGTTGTAAATTAGTTCTCTAGAACTTATCCATCCTACATGATTGAAAAGATATGCTGTTTGACCAACATTTCCCCATTTCTTCCACATCTTCAGCCCTGATTGTGATGTGGTAGCCAAGTGACGCATGAGTTAAAGCTATAAATTACTGTGGAACATTTTTGAAGAATATTGAACATTTATATTGAAGTGATTTTGTTTGGTTGCTTTGTCTTTAACAAAAAGTTTTACTTGATTTCTACTGTGTTTTATTTCCCTGGATTCCAAGTAAGCTCACTGGTTGACTGTTTCCTGTCTGCAGAATACACTCAGAGGATTTCCTCGGGGCTTCAATGCAGAGAAGCCAGAGCTTCAGGTATGGTTTACCTGTTAACATGGAGTGTCATATGCCTCTTATCTTTAAACTCCTTTTATTTCCCTTCCTTCCTTCCTTCCTTCCTTCCTTCCTTCCTTCCTTCCTTCCTCCCTCCCTCCCTCCCTCCCTCCCTCCCTCCCTCCCTCCCTCCCTCCCTCTCTCTCTTTACTTTCTTTCTTTCTTTCTTTCTTTCTTTCTTTCTTTCTTTCTTTCTTTCTTGCTGGGGGCCAGCCCCAGCGGTCCAGGGGTTCCCAAAGGTGTGGACGGGGTCGGAGTCGGCGAAGAATGTTTTACACGGAGACAGCGTTCAGAACTCTCTAGCTCTCTTTAGTCTCCATGGATCTTCCTGTGCCTGGCTGAGGCCACAGAGAAAGATCCTGAGGCAAGCTGAGCCTTTATTTTATAGTGAGAGGTAAACAAGGTAGTGGTTTCCATAGTTACACAGTTCTTGTGAGTTTCACTTGTTTCGGCCACTTCCTGCACTTCCCTCAGCCCATTAGCTTCCCAGATAAGATCTAGAGAGCCTCATAAGGTCAAGCCTAATTATGCTAAGAGGACTGTGCCCTCTAAGCTGGGAATTGCTTGTGACTTTACCAACAGGTCAGTCCGAGGCTTAACCCTATATCAGCTCCCCACACTTTCTTTCTTTCTTCTCTCTTTCTTTCTTCCCTGTCTTTCTTTCCTCCCTCCCTCCCTCCCTCCCTTCTTTCTTGCCTTCCTTCTTTCCTTCCTTTACTTACTTATTATTGCTGGTTCTCAATTTTGGTTTCCCATTAAAATAACTTAGAAAGCTATAAAGATATGATGCCTGAGTCTCATCTGTGGAGATACTTATTTAATTAGTCTGAGATGTGGTCTGGAATCAGGATTTTCAAAAATTTCTGAGATGTTGTTGATGTACAGCCCGTTGTTGCAAATCACTGCCTTCGCTAAACCCAGCTGTATGCTATGTTCCTGTCTTTAAAATCAAATACTGCCTTGGCCAGGTTGCTCAGTTCATTGGAGTGTCATACACCAAAATGGTTGTGGGTTCAATTCCTGGTCAGAGCACATACCTAGATTGAAGGTTCAATCCCTGGTTGGGCACATATGGGAGGCAACTGATTGATGTCTCTCTCTTCTCTCTCTCTCTCTCTCTCTCTCTCTCTCTCTCTCTCTCTCTCTCTCTCCTCTCTTTCTTCCTTTTTCTCTGTAAAATCAATTAATAAATATCCTTGTGTGAGAATTAGGGGAAAGAAGTATCTGAGATAAAAATAGACTATCGATTTAAATTGAATCCATAATCTTTACCATTAATGTTTGTATTTTGTGCCCTAACATTATAAAAATTACCTAGTAAATTATTGCAGGGTGGTGTAACTATTTTATTTAATTTCCAAAATTGTTCAAGCATGTTTCTCACAATGTTTTATAAACACATTCCCAATTAATGGCCTAAAAACAACATGGAAATATCCTGGCATTTTCTCCTTTCTAAAGAGAATCCTTCTGCTTCTGAATTTCCTCTGTGGTACCTCACAGGATAGCTGTGTTTCACCCCAGGCTTAGCTGTGGAAATGGGTTGTGAGTGATTCCAACTTACTGTGACTCTTTCTACCCCCTGCCTTAAATATGGACCCCTGCTTCAGACTGTAAAACTTCACTGAGACAAGGAAAGAATATTAAGTTAATATACTTAGAAAAACACAAGTCGAAGCAAATTAAAGATGTCCCCTCTAATTCTTCTTTTGATTCCATACAAACTGAATCAACAGTTCCAATTTAATTCTTGACAACTCTCTTGTCAATGTTTTAACATCTTGTTTGCTGACTATTTATTTACTAGTAATCTAGAAAGTTCATTTAAATTATATAGTTTCTTTTATGTCTCACTTAAAAACTGCAGTTTTTCAGTTAGCTCTAAGAATTTCATAATATGATATATTTTGCAGGTATAAAATGTCCCTTTAATAATTGCTGCCATTTGCATATTTAAAAATAGATTCCCTACTGTTATATTTGTAGTTCAACTGCTTTTGCTAGCTACCATTTTCTCTAGACTAAAATTTTGCTAGCTACCTTTTTCTCTAGACTAAAATTGATATTGCCACCCCCCAGAGCATAACATGGCTTTCCTAGTACTGAGACATAATTAAGAGACTGAATCCAGTGTTCCTTGGCTTTCTAATACTAGCTCTTTAAAATATAAATTTAGTTATGAGGTTCTGTCCCTGGGGGGAAATACCAGTGACAACCCAATCAGTTTCTGGCAGTTAAGTTTCAAATAACAGTGGGGTTTCTGTGTTGGTTCTGGGCAATTTTTCTGTTGCCAGTCAAGGATCTTCTCTTAGAAGCATTTTTTGTCAAACCTTTCTAGGGGCAGACTTTTGATTGACAATATAAGATTTTATTCATTGACATGATGCCAGGTTTGTGTACAAACAGCAAGGAATTTTATTAATAACTTTAGAATGATATAATTTAATATTTGAATATGTTAGTGTGTACTTAACTAGAATCATGTATATACACTTCTTACCTAACGCTGAGCATATCTTGGCATTTAAAATAGAATGTTTAGCCGAAACTGGTTTGGCTCAGTGGATAGAGCGTCGACCTGCGGACTGAGGGGTCCCGGGTTCGATTCCGGTCAAGGGCATGTACCTGGGTTGCGGGCACATCCCCAGTGGGAGATGTGCAGGAGGCGGCTGATCGATGTTTCTCTCCCATCGGTGTTTCTGACTCTCTATCTCTCTCCCTTCCTCTCTGTAAAAAATCAATAAAATATATTTAAAAAAAATAAATAAATAAAATAGAATGTTTAAATGCCTCAATGTCCTGAAGCTTTAGGACAAAGGTTAATAAAGATAAAGGAGTGATTTAAATTTATAAGGAGAGGATTTAGTCATTAGAGTTAGCACAGCTGTGGTGGTAATGTTAAAGATGATACATTAATGAGACTTTATCATAATAAAGTCCTGGCATCCCTGCTTACAAAGCTCATATTGAGTAGTAATATAACCACACCCACTTTAGAAATAAAGATATAAGGAAGAGAGTCAGAGTTACGCAGCTCGTAGTAATACCTTTGACTCCATAAGAATGACTTACAAAGGTGATATCTTCTTTATTTTTTAAAAAATATATTTTATTGATTTTTTTACAGAGAGGAAGGGAGAAGGATGAGAGTCAGAAACATCGATGAGAGAGAAACATCGATTAGCTGCCTCCTGCACACCCCCCTACTGGGGATGTGCCCGCAACCAAGGTACATGCCCTTGACTGGAATTGAACCCAGGACCATTCAGTCCCCAGGCCGACGCTCTATCCAGTGAGCCAAACCGATCAGGGCTATCTCCTTTATTTTTAAGGAGCATGTCCTATATTTCCACAACCCAAATTTTGAAGCTGCATGTTCTATATACTTGTAGTGAAGCTTCATTAATGTAGTGTCCATAGTACTCTTATCAAAATAAAACTTCTGTTCATGGGAGCCCCCAAGTGGCTGCACTAACATACCCCTCCCCAGTTATAATAATGTAATGTAATGGCAGGATTCATGAGTATTTCACTAGACTTTGTCCTCTTCTCTCTTACTTGCCTCACTTAACCCGTGAGGGAAACAATGTTCAGCATTACCTGTAAATAATCTCTTTAGCCATTTTTTCATGAGGACCTAGAAAAAGAATAAAATGATATTCCCAAAGTATCCACATACAATGTGTGACACTTTTATTTCTATAATATAAAACAATATGTCAATGATGGCACTTATAAAGTGGTATAATTTAGAGGTGATAATAGCTAAACATTATTTTGTATTATATAGGACATTTTTTTCTATTTTAATTTGACATTCTTTAAACTTGTCCAATATAATCAAAAATTTACTTGTTTTTTGAATCATTTTTTTAAATCTACAGATTTATGAAATTTAGAAAAGACACAAGTTTTATTAAATCCTTGCTTGTCAATAAATATCAGCAAAATATCAGCAATTCTGACTCTTCCTGTAATTCTATTTTTATTCAATGTTAAATAATCATACAATTTAATAAAGTTAAATTAATTGTATTGCGAAACCAAATTGATGGCTATGTAAAAGCCATTTGCCACAAAGTGCTTATGTACTGTATATCTTTCTAGTAATTTTACTCTATAATTTTCCTTTACAACAATCTATTTTTAATCCATAGTTCCCTAAAATGAAAGTAAGTCCATTAGATCTTCTGCTGGAGAATTGTGTTTTATTATCAATAAATCTCTGAATATATTTGACCATATATTTCATTTATTTGACTCTTAATCCACTTATTTTTACTATTGAAAATTAATCATGAATTATACTGGATTTTTATATATTTATATTCTGTAGTATTTAGCAATTTAAGTAATCCAGTTTACCTATAACTATGATAGAAACTATCTGAATGAAATAATACTGTCTTATACTGAGAACTGTCAGTGGTAAATCAAAATCTTTCTCATAAATCCAAAAAGTTCGTATAGACCTAGTGAAACAACGTTTTTTAAAATTTATTATTATTATTAGTTTTTATCTCAGGATATCTCCCATAACTCAATGGGGCTGGACTGGGGACAGATTCAAATTAGAGCCATCACCCTGGAATCAGTATATTATGCCCCTAAGGCATGTATATCATGCTTGGATCCTCTTTCTTAGTTATATTTTCCCCAAAGAGTCTCTGTTGTCCCTCTGAAAAAAGATTTCTGATGTGTTCTCCACCAACCCCAGCTACCTTTGGGTACCAGGCTAAGTAAGCTTTGTTGTGTGACCTTGAGAAAATCATCTTAAAGTCCTGAGCTCCAACTTAAAATGAAATAGGAATAGAACATGAATCCAAATCCCTTCCCATTACTTTCAAAGGAGTATATTTTTAAATATGATATAAATTATATCTCATATTAATATTAAATTTGTTTAACAAATATTTCTTGAGCATCAACATGTACTTAAATAGCGATGTCCTCATCTCTGGGGTATTAGAGAGGAAAAAAAG